CGTTGGTTTGTCTGCAGCCGAGCAGAAGAATCCCCTGTTGCAGCTGAAGCAGCCTGCTGCGGGAACTGCCGTTGGACGGTTGAAGCGACGCTACAAGAGGAAGAACGGAGTGAGCCCTGTTAAAAAAGGAACCTCGCCCTTAAAGAGACGTCAAGCCACAAACAGCCCAGCCAAACGCGTGCCGCCGATAAAGCCACAAGAACCTGCAAATGTACCAAAGGTGATTTCTGCGTGTGGTTGCAGATGGAAAGATTACTTTAGTCGTTGCTGTTTGGAACTAACCCCTTTTCCCTTTCACTTCTTTTCTCTTCCGTCAGACTGAAATGAACCCGTCCACCTCCGAACAGGACGTCGTGGTGTCTGTGACGAAGTCATGGCCTCGTCCTGTTCCAACGTTGGCCGGAGCTTGTGACCTGACGGACATTAAAACGCTCCTGCGGGAATGGGTCACCACCATCACAGGTACAGATGTCCTAATGTCCTAAAGACATCCACAGTAACGCCTGTTTATCTAAGCTTTATAGTGCTGCAGGTCCAGCTGTAATTCCTTTTGGGTGTAGCTTTACGCTGGGATTAAATTGGACATCCGAAGGCAGCTGGGTGCACTGAAATTTATTTAAGGGTGCCAGAGTAGGCCTGTCACGATGATGCATTTTGCTAGACGATAAATTGTCCCAGAAGTTACTGCGATAAACGATAATATTGTTGTTTCGAGACCATTTTCAAGTAATATAATAGCAATAATGGCATAATAAGGCAAGAACACACTCAAGAACACATTTTAAATTCTAATAAACATTTAAACACTGTAACAACAAATAAAATGAATTATGAAGTCCGTGTTAACAAAATTATCTTTCAAAGAAAAGGGATAGTTGAGACCAAAGCACCAGACTGAAGAATTTTAAAAGATAAATCAAGCAAATGAAAATGATTGATTTTATTTTAATTTGTCATGTGATTAATTGATTTATTGTTTATTGTGACAGTCCTCTTCTGATTTGATCTATTTAGATATGTCATAATAGTTGTGAGAGCATGTAGGCTTTTTTTTTGTCCAGATTTATCTCCATAATTTATGAAAGCAAAATAAACTGCCACACAACTGCTTACCTTTTAAAATGCCTTTTCGCTTAGAACCAATGGAGGAGGACATCCTGCAGGTAGTAAAGTACTGCACTGATCTCATTGAAGATAAAGACCTGGAGAAGTTGGATTTGATAATAAGATATATGAAAAGGTCCGTGGTGCAAAATTTAACATTCTGCATGCGTTGTTCTCTCTTGTTATCTGATCTCAGTTTGCTTATAGTTTGTTTTGTTTGTTTGTTTGTTTTTTCCCTTCAGGCTTATGCAGCAGTCTGTGGAGTCAGTTTGGAGTATGGCGTTTGACTTCATTTTAGACAACATACAGGTGGTTGTGCATCAAGCTTACGGTAGCATCTTGAAGATAACATGAGAAGAAGGAGAGGAAAGAAGTAACCCTGTTGTTGTTCTGCAACAATCGACCATGTACCAAACGAATCATGACATCTGAATGATTACTATTTGCTGTCCTAGCTTCTCCCGCAGCATCTTTCTTTTTTCCTCAGCCGCCAACAAAAATAATGGCAGAAACGCAAAGAGCCATCGGTGTATTATTTGAAAGCATGTACAGTACGTCACTTTTTGTACAAATGTTTGTTTTCAGTGTTGGAGTAGCTCGAACTGAAGGGCAAAGAAAAATGGTCTCACTGTCTACTTGGTGCAGTTTAAATGGTTCGTAATCCTTACAGTTTTGTTATAAATCTGTGATTTTTTTCCTTTCCTCAGATGTTTAGCATTGCGTTTGATTTGTCTCAGAAGTTTGACACGGGCATGATGTCATACCCAAGTTCGACCCGTTCTGATTGTAAGTTGGAAACCCCAGTGACGTTTCACTGTTGAGGGTGCTACTGTTATTGTTACAAGCCAGTCACAGCTTCTATGGATGCGACACCAGAGGAGCATGAATGGGAAGTGAAATGCGTGACAGAAGTGCAAAGAAACCGGTTACTCCTGCAGCTTTCACCATCTTTTATACATGTGGCAGCCATGACAGACGTTGAACACGGAATGGCTCAGGGACCTCCAGCTTTTCCCAGTCTGCATTCAGACTTCGATGTTGTTCTGTTCTCGTTTTTACAACTTGGGACTCTGAAACTTTCAAGTACAAATCGAACGCAGCACGGTTCTGTTTGCTCACTTTTTTTTTTCTTTTTTTTTTTACACACCTGTTCTGACCCAGCATTGTAATGCTTAGATATGTTTGTTTTCTGTTTTATTTTTCCGCAGGGCAGTCAACTTACCTCACAGGCACAGGTACTAGTGTTGAATACAAGGTTCATCATGTTGTAGTGACAAAAACCAAACTCGTGGATCACATTTGGAGTTTGCTAACCTCGTAGCAGTCCGAATGCGCGTTTGAAGCCGACTGAAATGGTTCAACAAAAAAAGACAATATTTTTTATTCGTGTTATTCTGGTGCTCTGATCTAGAAGCGCTTTCTTTTGTGGAAGAAGAAAGGAAGAAAAAAAAACGACTAACTGCTGCATTCTGTAGTGTTTCATTCAATTCTGGGTTTTTTTAAGTGCCAAATCTTGTTATAGAGTGTAAATAATGTTTGAAAGACCTTTGTCAAATGTTTTAAACAAAATGTATGTGGAGGAATTGCCTCTTGTATTGTTTACCAGTAGTGAATTCTTAGTAAGCGTCTTTAAATTGTAACTCTGAAGTCTAAAAGCTTGCAAGTGTTCCGGCATGGAAATCTGAAGCTAGCCAAAGTATTTCCTGGACAGTAGCAGTCTAACTTGGGAGGGCATCAACATATGTAATGGCAATCAGTCAGCTCATTCATTTCCCCTTTTTTTTTTTTTTTGTCGCCAACGAACAAGAGAGATCTGATGAAGATGATGCAACGTTTGTTAAGCATTTAAATTGGGTGCAACTCAAGCAGTTGCCTCCTGTTTTCAACAGGCTCTGAATCTGTTGAAATAATGTTGGATTTGGATAGATTCAGGTGACCCATCTTTTGTTATTCACTCTGGGAACGCTTGTACGGCAACTGACTTCATTTCTGTATATACGTCCTGAATTTAACCTGTCGTCTGAAGCGCTCATCAGACACGGCGAACTGGCTTCTGATCTCCTCACAGAAGACAATAAGTACGTTGTTGAAAAGTTTGCTTAAAGCAGTAACTATATGCAAACCAGATCAGTCTGAATGTAATTTGGAATGTGTGAGTTTTCACTTTTTAGATGTTGCTTCACATCACCTTTCACTTCTTTCTTGAAAGAAATGGCCACAAGTAAAAACTGGCCGGTGTTGGGTTCTCTAATCTGGCTTGTGCCTGAAGACCTGAAGCTGTGAATTTGTTTGTAAGTTTTCTAAACCTTGCTAATAAACTTAAACTTCTAATACTCTACCTGTCCTTCTTGTGTATTAGACATTGCTGGACAAAGGAAGCCGCAAACAGCTAAAGAAGTCTAAACTAAAGTAGTGCTTTTTTATAAGAGTGGCAAGAAGAAATTCATTGTTGAAAGTTGTGTCTAGAGAAGTCCCAGAAAGTTTTCAGTTTCAGCCTTAACATGGTATCCCAACCATGAAGCATGGGAGTGGTAGCATCATGATGTGGGGTGGTTTAGTTTAAATCTTGGATGAGGATGGTAAATGGTATAAAGATTATGGTAAGCTAAACAAAGAGCAATCCTGGACTAAGCCCCTTTTAGAGGCTAAAACTCACTGATACCAGAGAGGCTGATGAAATGGTTTCGTGTAAAGCACATTCGTGTGATAGAATGGCCCAGTCAAAGACCTAAATCCAATTTAAAAGTATTTTTCTCCTCACTTTAAAGTGAAGGACTCTTTTTGTTGGTTTATAATGGAAAACAGTAGCAAGACACATTGGCAGTCAAGGTTGTAATGTGACACAATGTAAAAAATATTCAAGAAATATTTAATTGATGCTTTTTAATAATTGACTAAAGTTGTTACAATTAAAATTCTGGTCTAAAAATATATATTTTTAGGCACATGCACAAGTTCTGGTCTGCATTTGTAAAATATACATCTCAAAAAACTAGAATATTGTGAAATATATATATGTTAAATATTTTTTGTATCTCATTTCAGAAGGTAAAACTAATTCATTTCATCGATTCATTATACAGAATGAAATACTTATTTTATTTCTTGTACATTTGATGACTATGACTTATAGACAATATGAAAACCCAAAATCCTCTATCACGGAAAATGTATTTCAAAAATGTACTTTATTTTGTAAGATGCCCGGAAGAAGTATTAATGACATCAAACAGGCCTAATTTGACGTCATATCCAGTGTGGCAGTTTCGCGCATTAACTGAAGTATCTACCGGTATTTCTTTCTGGTACTGTTTTACTTTATTTTAGTTGCTATATTGTAAATGTCTACTGTAATTGAACAGGTTGCTAATAACAACAATATTCTTAATTCTACCACTTTTTAAATGTATAATACTTTTATATGCAGAAGGTACCGACAGCGTTAGCCTGCTAGCTAGCATATCAAGCCAAAGTAACGTAAATTCTGGTATTTCTTTTTTATTTCTGATAGCTGACTGTATCCATCCTGATATATTTACTCATAATCATGTTCGGAGATGAGCAAATAACCGTAACATAGACTTTATAAACTGTAGTCGGTGAAAACAAGGCGTGCCCTGTTGTTACCACGGCTTTTGTTAGCTCCAGGTGTTTGAGATCACCTGGTTTTCAGAATAGCTGACTTTGAAAGATGCAAACATTTTTATGTATTTCTTGACCTGCGCAGAGGAATACTATTGTAGAACAAGGCCTTTCATATATTTAATGCGTGCGATATTTGTGCTAACAGTGTGGTGTTTTTAATTAAACGCGCAGTCGATTTAAATTTAAAAGTAAAATAAGTGTTGCTCATCGTTTGTATTAGACCGAAGTACTCATCCTGAAATAATGCATACAAGAACTGTTTATACGGCTACACAACAGCTCTGCCAGGTGTTGGTTTTACACCATGACTGACTGTGTTTTTCACAACTGGAAATGTTGTAAACATTGGAATTTCTTGTAAGAAAATTCAAAAGTGTAGTGGTTTTCTTTCTTTCAACCAGCTGATTGATTGGGAAGAGGTCAGTCCTCCTCCAGTTGCTTTCTTGCAAAACTTTTTTTATCCTGGAAACCCAGAACTATATTTAAGTACAACGTCATATCAAATTGTGTTTTTGCAAAGTGTTTAAATCACACAGTACTCCACATTGTTGCCATGTCTCAGTTTCCACAACATGTTCTTTCTTCCTCCTCAGATTCAGAGCTTTTGACACAGGCAGCCATGGCCATTCCCGTTGAGATCATAAGCAAGGTGATAGAGCAAACGGCTAAGGTGGTAGACGAGCAGGTGGAGGCGCAGCTGAGCAAGCTGAATGAAATGGACGACGACGATCTTGAGAGGCTGAAGGAGAGACGATTGGAGGCGCTTAAAAAAGCACAGAAGCAAAAGCAAGTAAGTGTGAGACTTCACCCACCTGGAGAGGAAACTGGAGGCGCTTTAAAAACACTCAGACACAGGTGACTGGAAGGTTGTATAAACTCTGTGCATGAAAGGCGCAGGTGTTTCAAGTTTAGATGGTCAGATTATCGGTAGAAATAAACGCATTAGATTAAACTTGGTGAGGGATTTTATTATAATCTGGTGAAGGAAAATGAAAATAAATGACAATTTCTAAATAAAGTTTGATAGGGAACCCTAAAGGCATCTTTAAAAATGCATACATTGGGAAGAGGAGCGGTTTTCTTCCTGAGAAAGTAATATTGGGGCATCATTGCACTTAGAAATAAACTTTTCATATTTTCCTTGTTCTGAATTTTCTACTTTGAAGGAGTGGCTGTCCAAAGGCCATGGCGAGTACAGAGAAATCTCCAGCGAGAAAGACTTTTTTGGTGAAGTAAAGGAGAGCAAGAATGTTGTCTGCCACTTTTACAGAAATTCAACCTTCAGGTAACTACACAGCATGTTGCAAACATTTAATTTTAATATTTTAGTTTAGGTTTAATTTATGGCCACAGTTTTTCTAATAGCTGTTGCAGAGAATCTTAGCTAATTTTAAAGATGTTAGTGTTAAGTCGAGCAATGTCATTGGCCATCTAAAATACAGTCAGTTTCATAATTTGTAAAGGCAATAAAATCTGAGGTATTAATTCTAACTTTTTAGGGAACTAAAAACTGCACTTGTGACATCTTGTTTTTACTATTCTAGGATTAATGTTAATTTAAATAATCAATGCGGAAAATCTAGCAGTTTATTCCACTTGGAAAAAGGAAAGATCAATTCCAATGTGAGTCACTGATGAACTAAAACACTAGTTTATTTCTAAAACTAAAGAAATAAACTGCAAATCTACAAAAAAAAAAAAAAGCAGTTTTACTTTTATTCTCAGATGCAAAATCCATCAGTTTATTCTTGCTGTGCAGGTGAGAACATTGTTACATTTGCCATTTTGTATTTTTCTTCTTGTAGATGTAAGATCCTGGACAAACACCTGGCTCTCTTGGCAAAGAAGCACGTTGAAACCAAGTTCATTAAGCTGAATGTAGAAAAGGCCCCATTTTTGACAGAGAAGCTGCACATCAAAGTTATTCCTACGCTGGCGTTGCTTTTAGATGGGAAGACAAAGGATTATGTAGTGGGATTCACAGATCTGGGCAACACAGACGAGTTTTCCACCGAGATGCTGGAATGGAGACTCGGATGCGCGGATGTGATTAACTACAGGTAAGACCTGCAGAACAATCACTCCTCCTCCATCTGTGGGATTTCACAAAGGAAGAAGCGCGCATTCATTTTAACGTCCGCCTTCTTGTTTGGTTTCTGTAGCGGCAACCTGATGGAGCCACCGACAGGAACACAAAAGTCTGGCTCAAAGATCACAAAAGTGGAGAAGAAAAGTATCAGAGGGCGAGGTTACGACTCCGACTCCGAGGACGACTGAGACGCTTTGATGTGGCTGGTTTTGTCTCTCAGGGCTACCTCACTGTTATTTCCAGCAGACAGCCCTCTTTCATTGTTTTTGTTTTCATCACCTGCTCATTCATTCTTTACAACTTACCTGATCTGTGATTTTCATCTTTTATTTAACGGAATGTTATGTAATAATAATAATAATTTGGTCATCCTGAGCAAGGAATCATACATAATGTGATTCACTGTTTTAACACTTTAAGCCTTCTTTTTGAATCAGACTTGTTGGTTTCATTGCATTTTTATCAAGTGTTGCGTTAGAACAGAGCCTGTGATGCATGTGGGTGCCAAGATCGGATGTATTCAGTTTTTAGCATCAGAATACATTTATACATGACCATGTAGCAAAGAGTTTGACTTAATAAATACTGATGTAATAAAAAGTAGTGAAAGAATTCCACTTTTCTTCTGTGATTCTTGTTCCTACTGTTTACAGACGGGATCCCAACGATGTTAATTGACAGCGTGGAAAAAACGGACTTATTTTGAATCAAGAACAGATGCAGGCGTGAAAAACACCCAAGCCAAGATTTTTCTTTTGAGCGCCTTGGAAAAAAAAATATTCATACAACATAGACGTTTTCTGCATTTTTGTCATGTTTCCACCACAGCACATTTTCACATATGACGGATGGCTGTCCTGTCAGCTGCACCACATTGTATGATTCCTGGAGCCTTTGATATGTTTGTAAGGGCTTCACAACGTCCTGCAAAACTATTAATTTACCTAGACTTGCTTTCAATATTTTTTTATGCTACAACCACAAATTTCTGCATATTTTACTGGGATTTTATATGATGGAACTATTTTTAGTAATACAAATTAATTTTGGCTTGCATATTTTTTTTCAACCTTTCAAATCTCAGCATTGTAGAACCATGTTTTTATGCTACAAGTAGCAAGTATTTTGAGATACAAATCAGCTTTTCCTAAAAAGTAAAGAAGTTTAACAATTTTTCCATGACTTCCATGTGCTAACGCAGGGATGCAGTTTGTTCTATTTTGATGGTGGCAAAGTGCAAATGTGACTTCTTTATGGATTTATCTGAATAGTTAAAAGTATTTTAATAGCCTGGTTCTCTCGATGGACCTAAGAAGGCTGGATTTCCAGGACATGTTTAACAGTCAGGATGTTCTGGATTTCTGTTCTCTACCAGGCTGTGACTGAGCAGCTGTATTTACAGTGAAATAAGATATTTACAGAGCGTAACTCTGTAAATATCTTATTTACAGAGTTATGCTCTGTAACTCTGTAAATAAGATAGACCCTCCCGCCCCCCGACATAACATTGAACACATTGGAGTCGACACAAAGGGCACATTTATACTCTGATCATTAAGACAGGTATTGGTTTCCTCCTATGTCAAGTTTTACCAGCATAGCTTTATTATACTTTTAATTATTGAAACAAACTTTTCAATCATTTAGACTTATTTAGATGCACCAACTACGTCTTGGTTATTTGTTAAGCTAGGTTTGCTGAAGGATTTCAAACTAATCCGATCACTACAAAATATTTCATTAAGCTCAAAAGACACTTTAGAAGAGACTGGAATCTATTTTTTAGATTTCTTCTTATTTATTTATCAACAGCTTAAATTCGAGCAAACATCACAGAGCAGAACTAAGACTCAATAGCCTTGTTGTCGACAGGTTGGAGAAGGCGACGCACAATCAGCTCTCCCTTGCTGTTGATGTACGTGTCGGCCATGTCCTCCTCAGAAGGGAGACCATGTGGGGTTTTCAGTGGCTGTACCCTTCATGCAACAGGAAAACGTAACAGGTGGGAGACGGGTCACAGTCATACAGTTATATTCCCTTTGTCTATGTGATGAATGTAACAGAAGGCTTAATAAATTATTTTTTAAAGTGATCCGGCTCTACAAATCATTACTTGGATGACTTAATCTGTAGTAATCTTCATGGTCATTAAAAAAAATGCCTGCTTTGATTTTGTTACTTTATTATTTAAAGTAACAAACAAACAGTAATCTTACCTTATAAGATGCTTGATAATTTTCAGTTGGTTGTTAACTGAAGGTGTGTTTTTATGGATTACAGGTTTGTGGGCCTGACAGGAAGATAAACAGAGAGCAAGGTTAATATGTTGTCTATACATTATACACAGTGCCATTTATATTTATGAAAGCTTAAGTGTTAGGTTGACAAACACTGTGTGCTTATTTTATTATTAAACACTTATTCTGCCAGCTACTAGTAATAAATAGTTTATGAGCTTCTACTGACAGGTAGACATAAAGTCCAGGTTGCACAAGTGGATCAAGACCTGACTGAACATCTCACAACTCTTGGTACTCCTTTTAGATGACATTAATAGTACCGTTTGAAGTCCGAAGTATTTCACGATGTTCTTCTCCCAGTATGGCCTCCTCATTGCACTTTTGACCCGGGTCACTATGTGTAGTTTGTGAGGTTGCTCTGGATTGCCTCCATACTTCTCATGCTCTTTTGATCTCTCTTCAAAAATCTGTCAAACGGGAACAAACTTTTAATTTCTCGTCACAGACAAGGCAAGCGAGATGCAGTAGGCGTCTTATTTTTACACTCCTTCATAGCATTGACAATGAAATGAATAGTACTCTCTTTTTTTCTCCATAAAACGTTGAAAATAAATATTTTACAAAAATATAAAAAGTGACAGTGTGGGATCATTGAATATTTTTTCTTGATTCTCACCGTCTCTGGGATTCTTGATTTGGAAAATTTGCTGCGAGCGGGCACAAACCAAGCACAAGGTGATAAAACTGTGGCGTCTGTCAATGCCTGCAACATCAGAAGAAACAGAGACTGTACAGGTGCTGGTCATAAAATTAGAATATTGTGATAAAGTTCATTATTTTCCATAATGTCATGATAAAAATTAAATTGTC